ATTGTAATCGCAAATATTGTCGTTTATCCGCGTGATGGTGGTGTGTTCGGTAGTGAAGATGATGATATATTTGTTTTTCGCTTGGTTACATTGTTAATATATTCACTCGGCAACACACAAACAGTGACGCGACTAACAATGAAAACGGGGAGCAAAAGACGGGGCGAGACTCAATCGAAAATGAAGTTTCAAGTGGTTTTGGAATTCCTTGAATGTAATAATTAGCCATGGGAACGTAAAGCCGTTTAGTTAAAACACTAACGGAGAATAAACGAACATGATGTTCGACAAGAAACGAGCGAAATAATAACAACGGAGAAATAGAAAATACACAACAGAATGAGAGTGACAGAGAAAGAGAGAGCGAGAGAGACCGAGAAGGCACAAGGTGAAACGAAGCTTTCCATTCGTTTTCTCCTACTGCCGCCTGTTGTGCAGTACATACATATTATATTTATTCTTTTTTCTACTTTGTTGACCTCAATTTTATTAGTTCTCTATTATTGTTTCGATTTTTTTGTTGTTGTTTTCCGATGAATTTTTACGTTTGTTTTGTTTTTAGAGCCGCATTCCGCCCATTTAGATTTCGATAATGTTAACATAAATTACAGGGAAAAAAAAACAACTTGAAAAAAAAAAAAATAAAAGGAAAAATTTTGAAAATGCAATTCCAGCGAACAGCAACCACGATAATTACTTTGTATATGCAATTATTACAATGGAAAAGCGGAAAAAGCTGAGTACTGTTTGTATGTTGTTTTATGCATTGAGCTTTGGCTAAAGGTCGTCTCGATGATTCAGTTTTTAAAGGCACACACGAAAAAGAAAAACCGACGAAACAAAAATGTTAAACGAAAACACCGTGTATGAAAATTATGCGGCATATGAAATGAAATGAAGAAGACGAAATGGTAGAAAAACGCACACTCACACACACACAGGTTGCAAATGGAAAATAGAGAGAAGGAAAATAAGAAAAGAGGCGCTCATACTTAAGCGTTACATGAAAACAGCTAAACTATTAACTCAAAGTCACACAACGACACATCACCTTTCCCACCGTCCCTCCTCCTCTCCCTCGCACCCTCCGTCATCGTCGTTGTTGCTGTCGAAAGAAACCTGCACAAGCCATGTTGCGCCATGGTATTACAAAGAGTTACAACGAGTGTGCTACCGCATGAAAAACACACGTGCTCGTTATCGAGCCATTACGTATGAAATGCGAAAGGCCATTAAAACTTAAAAAAAAATCCGTATTACACATATTGTAAGCGAGAGAATAACTGACTGCCTACTTAACACACTACACCGCCGAATGCTATTCGAGAGCTTTTGACAGCTACCTGCTCTCTCTCTCTCTCTCTCTCTCTCTCTCTCTCGTTACCTCTTTTTATTTTCACAACGAAAATCCGATGGAATTTTTGAGCATATATGTGTGTCCCACATGCTCCCATCGTCATCATTATTATTACGGTCAGCCTCGCCGTTACAATTTCAGCTCAATAGCCTATTTTTTTGCCAGGATTTGTGTTTCTTCTTCTGCTTCTTCTTTCTTAATCATCACCTTAGCTTGAACATGTAAGTGACGAACAAAGATTCGTTGGAATGAATGGAGAAACTCCAAGTCAAAGCGAATGCCCGTCGAAAGAAGGGAAAAGTTACAAAACAACCGAAAATGAATGTTGCCGAAAGTTTTCAAGCTAGAATATCATAGTTTTATTGTATTTTTCCACTGATTGTGGGTTTTGTGTGGATTTTTTTGTCGTTCGTCATGTGTGCTCATGTTTACTCCTTCGCTGCTTTTGCGCAAACCGAATCGAGCCATCATTATGATTGTGATTCAAAGTAACCAATTGTGAACTTCCGCAGTCATTGTGAACAAGACTAGTAAAACGACACACACTACATTTGTTTGATAGATGCAACGCAAAAACTTCGAAGGAAAGAAGTACGAAATGAAGATGCGTTAAGGCAAACATTTAGCTCAGCTCAACGCGTCTTTCTATCCCTTTCTGTCTCTCTCTCACTTTCACTCGAACATCGAATGTCGAGGCTTAAAAACAGAACAGCGCCGCGTAATATTTCAAATGGATGGAAAATCCTTTATGTAAATGATAAGAATTTATCTGAATGTCAGACGGGCTTGTTGTGTACTCGCTTGTTCGCTCTCTGTCTCTTTTTCTTCACCACCCGAAAAAGCACAGGAGATTATTGTTCGATAAAGAAATTGTTATTTTAATGGAGCTCCCCCCTAATAATTTTTCTGCAGAGAATATGTATACATCAGCCATTGCTACTGGGACTTTTGCTTCTCGTATGAAATCATATATGCGTATTACTGTGTGTGCGCCCTTTTTACATCTCTGTATCTCTCTCTCTCTCTCTCTCTCTCTCTCTCTCTTTCTTGCGCAAACGACCGATCTCTGTCATTTCGAAAATAAAAACTACTTCTTTGTTCCCTGTCATGGATTTCTCATCTCGTGCATCAAAAAGCATTTTCATTTTTGTTGCTGCTACTGCTGTTTATTTCGTCATCTTCGCTTTAGTTTACTGCTGTTGTTGTTGTGCTTTTCTTCGGAATGCGCGACGATATCGCGTCAGAAGAGTGAATATATGTGACGATTGTACATTTGGTGGAAATTAACCAAAGAACACCCGCTGACTTTGTTTCTTCCATACGCGCAATAACATGTTTGTACCATTGTACTTGAGCTCGATTTCACTAACTACTAATAGCTTACACCCATGCCGACGTGTGTAAGTGCTTTTAATGGATAATAATCGCAACAACACACCACCACCAACAACAACAACAACAACAGCAGCAGCAATCATTGCGTTCCGGATGGCATTTCAACCAACACCAAACAGTCATGTATTTTCTCTGCTGCTCTGTCAAGCATGGCTTTAGCTTTAGCCTCAAGGGTTGTGTTTTTTTTTCTCTTGCTTTATGTCGTATTCATTGCTTCATTTTTTCTTCTTCTTCTTCTTTCCTTCGTTTTGTCTCCCGCTAATACCTTCCACGCACACACACACACACACACATCTAACGGCTTTATTCTGGACAACAAACGGACTATTCGTTGTTCATTCGAAATTCACAGGGGTCTGCTACAGATTTGTGTTTTTCTTCGGTCACATTTGATTTTTACATGATTAACGTTGAAACTAGGCTAGCTTTTTAGCTCGTACTCAAATCGTTAAAAGGTATTAGTGAGTGGAAAACGGCCGATGGTGTTCATTTGGTGCTGGTGTGGGCCAAAAAACACACTTAAATTTTATGTAAAATTATGGCCTCTGAAGAATGGCCAATCTCTTGTTGACAGACCAAAACCGAATTCCGCATTGTTTATGCAATGGCAACTCAACGGCACAAATAATTATGGGAATAAATTTGAATGTGCTTGTCAGGTTTGCTTAGAGCCCATTGAATTTTAAATGCACCATTTCAACTGCGACTACCTTGCCCAATTGCCGCTTACACATTCTCTCATTCTCCCCTCTTTAACGGATAAAGGATTTTTAGCTCAAATGCCTATATATACATGAACCCACCCACCATCCATCATGCACAGGACACCAACGAGAAAACCTTCAGATGATTTAAAATCCCAGGCTTTCTTTTTGGATGTATAGAGAAAAGACCTAAATAAATTATGTGCAAATCGCCATTGTTTACATTTGTGTGCGCGCGCGCTTGTCTCACCGCGTCGCGCACATCATCGGCCACCATACCGTCGTGTTGCCGTGCTCGAATGTGTATGCGTGCGCAAAATTCATCAAAATATAAAAATTGCCCATTTGTGTATTATAATTATGGGCTTTGTGATGCATTCCAACCATAATTAACCAACTAACCAACCGCACGGAAGCATTCAATCTCCTCACTCACTGAATACATTCATAAATTTATTAATGCTAATGATTGAGGGTGGCACTTTTGAATTTTCAAAACGACAATCTTTGACAATGCACACCAATGTATGACAACATTGCCACCCAGCCACCGCAATGGGACTATCTCTGAAATTGATCTCATTGAACGATCGACATTAATTCATATTTTGCATGAAATCTGCACACAAAATTACCACGGTGTACATTTTCGTTTAAGTTCATCTCATCGAATTGCAAATTGAAATTCTTATGGGAAAAAAAAACAATGTATACATAGAGCACGTTTCTTCTTCTACGAAATGAAAGCCACACTGTGTTTCTTGGAAAATTATTCGACGAAACAGTTCATTTGAATTCTTCAAATAAAAAACGTAATCGATTACTACACTCCATGGAATAAATCTAAATGTGTTAAAATTAAATGTGTATGAAACATTATTCAAGTGCTTATGATTTAAATCGTGTGCGTGATAACAATGGCATGTCAAATACAGTACGGTGGATTTAAAATCGGATTTTATTACAAATCCATCTGTTTTCTTCTTTCTTTATTTTTTTCACATTTTTTTTTCTTCTTTTTCGTTCTCTTACCATTTTTTTTACAAATGAAATTTTCATCTTATTTACTTTGAAATGAAATTTTCTTTTGATACTTCGATTTGTTTCTGATTGCGATTTACGATTTAAAATTATTTGAGATTTAAGATTTTTGATTTTTTTTTTTGTGACTCTGAAATTATTTTCCTTTTTGTCATTTGTATCATTGCTCAAAATTCGAATAAGAAAAAAGTGAATGGTTAATTTTGGTGGTAGAATTTGAATTTGGTGACGCCATCTATTGCAAAACTCGAGTACCATTCAAAACCAAACGTGGAAAGGATCACTTTTGGAGTGTGCAATAATAAAAAAGATGTTCTTCAAAATCGTTTGAATTCGAATTGAAAAACAAAAATTATCAATATTTGAATGAAATTTTTCTCAACAATCCACAACATTTCTTTCAAAATAATCGTTCCACAAACTCTGTTGCGTCCCTTTTTCAACTGATTTAAATGCATCTGCTTGAACGAAACAATGTTTGACAGTTTGCTTACTCATCGTGCAAGTTCAAGCAGGGTTATATGTGGAGGTATGACTTTGACATTTCATTCGTTTTCTTTTGTGTATTTGTATGTATTTACAATTGTATATCATTTGTTTTGTGATCGACACAATTCAAATTGCACACACAAGAGTGAGAAAAAAAAACACAACGAGAGGAATAAATCTATGAAAACAGTGAACGATAAAAGGCATAAAGTAACCGAAACTCAAACGAAACTCAAACGAAACGACTGAAATTTTGTTAGTTTAAAATAACGACTACAATAATAGTGCAGTAACAATGTCGACGGAGTCAGAAATCGGTAAAAAACACACTTCTGAATTCGGTGTTCGGTCAAATGAATCGTGCATCTAGTGCGTTTTTTTTTTTAGAAATATGACCCAATGTTGATTAGCCAAAATTTCGTACTGCAATGCGGAAATTATTTTCGGATTATTACTTCAATCAAAATTATTGCATTGTCAACCGAATTCATGTGAAACCAAATTTAAACGAACCTATATCAAAATCGATGGTAGAAAGTCCAACACATTCAATCACACACTGAATGACATTTGAAATTCTAGAAATTAACTCATGTTGTTGTTTTGCAAAATTTTTTTTTCAACAGAATTGCTGGAGCGGGTGCTGTTTCGTCTGGGAACGACTGAAACGGATGAACAACTTGAAATTGCGGTCAATAAATTTCTAACGCCGGTTTTGCTCAAAATCACATCGCCAAATGAGTCGGTGCGATGCAAGGTAAATTGACACTTGAGCAATTGAGAGGCAGATTAATGACTGACAAAAAAAATTGGCCCAATTTCAGGTGATGGAAGTTTTGACGCACGTCAATAAACGATTGAAGTCTCGGCCATTGGTGCAGCTACCTGTTGAAGCCTTGCTGCAGCAATATCAAACCACCGATTCGCAGTTTTTGCACAATTTTTCGATAATTTATATAACGATGGGATTTCCGCGGCTTAGCCAAGATGAACAAGTTAAACTGGCACCGTTTGTATTGAACTGTTTGGAGGGAAAGCCCGAAAATCATCAGGATAAGTATGTGTGCCCATTGAAAATTCGTCAATTATAGAATTTAGCTGGACGAGTATAGATTTTTGAACCGATTTATGCGTTTTAGGTTATTGATGTTAGTTTTACCATTGCTCGAGTCAATTGAAATACCGAAAGATCCGGAAAAACGAAGCTCACTGCTTGGCCTTGGCGATAAACCATCAACTAAAAAGCAATTTCTAGCAATGTTACAAGATGTACTCCTACTGCCGTACGGTGTCACTTCGGATGGCGAGGTGCCGGCCGGCATGAGCTCATATGCTTTCAAACGTGTCATCGCCAATGGGTGGAAAGCCGAAGAATTGGAGAATCTGAAGAAGGGCATCTGTCGATTTTTGTGCAGTGGCGTCTTTTGCGATCAAGACATTCTCACGCTATTGGTTTTGGCTTCGGCTGATACACGATTCAGCGTTGCAACGCCAGCCATTGCCGAACTTAGTAAAATAAATTCGTCGGTCGATTGGTCCGATGCCGAAAAAACTGCACCATTGTACACATTGTTTTTGGGCAATGGTTTGAAGAATGCCGAACGCAAAACGTCTGCGTGCAGTGCACGTGTGCGTCAGAAGCTATTGCAGTATTTGTTGAAGAGCCGAGGCAAGGGTATCAACACGGTTCGTGGCATTCAAGTCATTTTCGAAGCACTTTTTGGAGAGAATAACAACCAAAAATGCAAAGTGCTTGCACTGCAATTCGCGAAGAACTTGATCAGAGAGTAAGTTTGAGGTCGTTTTAATTGTGGAAAAAAAAATTGAAGGGAAAAACCTGGTTTTGGTTCAATTGAACAAGAATCTAAAATTATGTACTTGTCATCATTTCAGTGGTCCAAAGGACTTGATCGACAAAATCTCCAAGGTAATTTTATCCGGTGTTTCAAAATTAATCGGAGTTGAATCAACTGAACCGGCCGATATTCAAAATGCTGCGTATTGTGCCATGGCTCAATTGGCACGAAAATGCCCCGACATTGTCAATAAGGATTTGCAATTGACCGTTGCCTACTTTAATCACTTGACTCAAGCGCCAACTGAGTTGCACGATTCCATACGAGAGGCTTTGATTGCCGTTGCACCGGCTTTTAAATGGAATAGTAACGCAGATGATGCATCCAAATGTACATCGAGTGCCAGGGATTTTATGCCAAACTCAAATCAAAAACTGCTCTTGGCCATGCTGAGCGAACACGCTGAATCGAAATCGATCATCGTACAAAATGTCACCTGCACATTCTTAACAACATGCTTTCCAGAACATTTCGTGCCCGCACGATATTTGCTGCTTTTGATCGCTGGCGAAAGGTAACACCGTTTTTATGTTCAGAAAAAAATATTTCTTCAGTCGAAGCCTTTGGCCTGAAGGCACTTCAAATATGTTTGTGCTTGAAAATCACCATGAATTTTTCATATTTTTCTAACATCAAAATCTGTTTTTCTTTCGAACACTTTCCTGAAACAAGGTCATCGTTACGCGAAACAATCACGCAGCATTTGTACGGTGTATCAAAGAAGGATCACATCAACTATTTGTACATATCAACGATTGATGGTGTATCGCGTAAAGAGAATGAGTCGCTCGAAGTGAATCAACTGTCAACCGAACAACGGCGCGTAGTCCTACCATCATTCAAGGAATTGATCAATTATGTCTACGAAATGAACCAGAAGCGATTGAGCAATTCATCAACACAACGTCATGTTTACGGCCGAGCCACGCTCACTTATTCTTATGAAGTGTATACAGAGGTAAGGAAAAATCTTCTGAAAAAAAGGCGAAAATTAAAAAAAAAAATTAATTTCCAGATTTTGGACTACTTACGATTATGTTTATGGTATTCAGCTGGCGTTCGATCGAATCCAAACAGCTCCAAATTCGTAGCCAAGTTGAATGCATACATTCAAAAAAACTATGAAGCCAACGAAGAGAATTTCCTTCAAAAGTATTTGGTGTTGGTGAAACAGATTTTGGTGGCGAAACGTGGAAATGTCGAATTGATTTGCATCTACGATTTATTAAATGCCGAATTGCAAACGATGACCCAGCAATGCTCCGATTTGCAGGAGAGTTTTGCATTAGCATTGAAGGATGTATCGGAATATACTCGAATTTTGGTGGCACAAAGCATTGGAATTCTGTGGGCCATTGGAAGCTCATTCGATGAGTTTAATGCATACGTGAGTATATTCTAACGCCGACCTAGTTTCAATACCAAAAAAAAAATGTGTTGATTTTTCAGATCAAAGAAGTCTTGAATTCATTATCGCAACGTCAAATTGAGCATCGCCATGGCAGTTTGTTGGCTCTATCGCACGCTTTACATCGTAAGATTGATTCATGGCAAAAGTCGGGAACGCTCGATGAGAAGGTGACATCCAATTGGGCGGAATTGAAACAAGTCGTAATTTTGTTAATCGATCATTTGGCGGATCAGCAGCCATTGCTGGTGTCGGCTGCTATCAATGGTATTTCCTTAATTGGTTCGGTTATCAAATTACCATTGCCCGATCAATCCGGCGACGCAGCTGCCGGCTCGTCGACATCATCCACTTCAACTTATAATGCTGACGAGCAAATGGATGTGGACGGCGATGCAAATGAGTATAGCAAAGCATTTGTGGCACAAAAAATTCTATTTTTATTGAAGAGTGCTCATTCACGGCCAAAGATTCGAGAAGAAGCTGCACATTGTATTGGCCATTTGGCCATCGGTGACGGTGCCTACTTCACACAAGGAAATCTGAACGCGTTCACCAAAATGATTAAATTGGTTTGTGGAAACTTTTATTTGATTCTCACAAAAATTTCTATTTTTCTTGATTCCAAAATATGTCTTTAAATGTCTTTGTCCACTTCAAAGACCAAGGATGCAGCATTGAATATAGCCATCGCACAAAGTATCGTGTTAACGGTGTTGGGTCATGAAATTCATGAAGGCGAGGAAATCAGTGATGGTAAACCGAATCCATACTGCGATGACAAGTGCTTCAACGAATTTTTAAGCAGCATCATACAAATGGTGGCCGATCCAAATCCAGCGTCTCGACACTCTACCGGCATTTGGCTATTGGCTCTCATCAAGAACTGTTCAAAACGACCATCGATCTATAAACGCAAGGACATCCTTCAATATGCTTTCACCGAGCTATTATCTGACGATAGTGGTAAGTTTGAGTGTAAATAGGGAATGAATTGAATTTGAAGAACAGACACATTGGGAAGTGTTCTCGGCAAACGACTTACCGACAGTATCGATAACAAAGATTACACATCATTTTGAAGAGCGAATTTTTTGAATGAAGTTAAAACGTTTCATTGAAGAGAAGTTAACTAAAATTTAACGTTTTTTTTTTCAGAATTTGTACAAGATGTTGCATCACGAGGACTTGGCTTAGTTTATGAACTGTCCGAAGCGCAGAATCAAGGTGATTTGGCCAATTCATTGTTGAATCAATTACTGGGCGGAAAACGACAAGTCACACAAGTCACGGAAGATACAAAACTGTTTGAAGAAGGAGTTTTGGGCAAAACGCCAACTGGGTAAATTTATTTTACTAAGTTACGATTTTTGATCGTCATAAAAATTGAAAGACATTGATTAATGCAGCATTTTCATAAAACTTTTATTCAATTGTCTTTTCGATTGTATTTTTCAATTTAATTTTCGCCTCAACTTTTTCACATCATTTTAATTTCTTCGATTCAATTCCATTTTTTTTAAATCGTTTTCCTATCTCTTTTTTCCTCAACAGTGGCAACATAACAACGTACAAAGAACTCTGTAGTCTTGCGTCCGATCTCAATAAGCCGGAAATGATTTATCAATTCATGCAGTTGGCCAATCACAATGCGGCATGGAATAGTAAGCTTGGTGCGGCATTTGGTTTGAAATCGATTTCAAAAGGAGCCAAAGATCAAATGAAGCCATTCTTGGAAAAGATCGTGCCGCGTCTCTATCGCTATAAATATGATCCGACGCCAAAAATTCAGCACTCAATGATTTCGATCTGGGATTCGATTGTAAGCGATTCAAAGGAAACGGTGGAAACATACTACTGGGCCATTTTTGATGAGTTGGTCACGAATCTAACTGATGTTGAATGGCGTGTTCGAATTGCATGTTGTTTGGCTGTCCGTGACTTGATCAAACGTTCGAATGGCCTAAAATTGAGATACCATGATCGTGTTATATCATCGGTGAAAGCGGGAGGTAGTGAAACGGATAATGCAAAAATGGATGTTGATGATGCCGAAAACTCAAATCATTCATTGCAACTTGGCAACGATGAAATTCAATGCAGCGAACCAGATCTGCACAAACTCTGGACACAATTATTCCGTGTGATGGACGATGTGCACGAAGGCACCCGATTAGCCGCCGAAGGCACAGCTAAGCAATTGAGCAAAGTAAGAAACTGTTTTAGATTTGATTGATATCATTGTGACTTTTTCGATATTTTAAACGTGTTTCTTCTCTTTTCAGATTTGCATCGTTGCCGCATCAACCAATAACGGAAAAGCGGGTGAAATCGTTGCGGCCACAGTGATGCCAGTTCTTTTGAATGTGGGAATAACGCACACTGTGGCTGAAATTCGTTCATTGTCGATGAAAACATTGTCAGAATTGATAGACTCCTCTGGATCGTTGCTAACGCCTCATTTGCAGATTTTAGTTCCATGCTTGTTGAAAGCCACCGGTGAATTGGAAGTACCGAAATTGTCGTACATGTCAAACCAATTGGGTGGAAATGCAGACGCACAAGAAATGGTCGATTCGGCTCGGGCTGAAGTGGCCAAACAGCATCATTCGACCGAAACACTTACCAAATGCATTCGATACATCAATTACGAGTCATTGGAAAAGATGACACCGAATATCGTTGAACTGATGAAAATCGCCGTCAATTTGGGCACGAAAATTGCATGCGCACATTTTGTTTGCTTGGTAAGGGTTATCTCGTCATTAGGTTGATGGTGATTTGATGAAAGAAAAGTGAGAAAAAAATGTTTCCATTTTCTTCGACTCACACAAATGTTTCATTTCATTTGTAGGTTACCATTCGATTCCAAAAAGAAATGCAACCGTTGGTCGGGAAGTACTTGAGTGCATGTTTCAGTGGTCTAAAAGATCGCAATAATATCGTGCGCAAGTACTATGCATCGGCAATGGGTCATTTGATCGGAATTGCAAAGGTATTTTTTTATTCGATTTAATAGCAAACATTTCGAGTATTTGATCATTTTGGGCAATTTCGATAATAATTCACTCTTTCTTCATACTCTCAACACCAGGAACAATCTGTGATCCGTTTATTCACCAAATTGACCGAATTTTACTTTGAAAACCAATCAAACAAGGGGATTCCGCAGACAATTTCAAGCGTAAACAAGCGTCATCAAGAAATGCTTAAGGATTATTCGGCTCACATTTTGCCGTTAATATTCTTTGCGATGCACGAGCAAGTGAACGATGACAATCGAACTATAATTGAATCATGGAAGGAGCTGTGGATTGATGTAAGTCCAGGTGATGCTGGTATTCGAATGAATCTTGAATCGATAATGCCAATGTTGGAGAAATCTCTAGAAGATTCATCGTGGAGTATCAAGGCACAAGGTGCGAATGCAATTAACACGATTGCCACTCGCTTGGGTAAAAATTTAGATCATGCCGAACGAAATCGACTGATAAACGCTTTGCTGCAAGCAGTCAGTGGTCGAACATTTCAAGGAAAAGAGCGTTTGCTTGAAGCGTTGGCCAGCCTTTGTGATGGTTTAAAGAAGGATGATTCACAAATTCATCAGCAAATTATTGATGCCGTCATGAAAGAGTGTAACAAAGAAGAGCCCATCTATCGAACGCATGCACTCAAAGCCATCGGTGATGTATTGGAGCATTTGCAAGAGGATCGATTCGAGGATTTATACAACATGATTTGGTATTTAATTGATAAAAAGGACTTGGCTTCAGTTACCGGTGATGATGAAGAAAAGAATTTATCGTCCGATGAGCGAAACAAACGCGCAATGATTTTCATCAATTTGAAAGAAACCGTTTGCGAAACTCTCGGCAAAGCATGGCCCGCCCATTCGCTGGAAACGCAACAAAAGTACCAGCTGATGTTTGTTGAACGATGTGTTCAGTGCTTACAGAATAACACACGGCCAGTTCAATTGGCATTGCTCGTTGCACTCGGAAAATTCGTTGAACGATTGAAGATTCTGGAAACTTCAAATAAAGCCAGCGTTGAGAGTGCACCAGATAAGAAATTCAAAATCGATGAGAATGAAGGAATTCTGGATAAAATCTGCAAAGATATTCTGTCTGCGGTGGTTTCGGTATCAGGTAAGGGCTCTTTTTTGGGAATTTGGATTTTTTTCTCTTGTTCCAAACGTCAAAAAAGAAAATTAAAAACTGAAGAACGTATTTTTTTTTTTTATCTTCTACAGGCATTCCACACACTGGCTTGAAGAAAGAGGCGCTCAATATACTACTAACCCTTTCAAATCGGCTGATTGAAAAGCAGTCTGCACACGAATTGGCTATGTTGAAACGAACGTTTGACGAAATTCTGGTGAAACTTCAACGTGACAACGCGCCTGAAATTAAGATTCGACTGAAGGATATCGAAGATAAACTAAAGAATGTCTAAATTTAAACGATTTTTTCGATCCGCACGTGGACTGAAGTGAGAGTAAGACCAGACAGTGGGATATTCATATACTAAAAAAATTTTGTAAATCTCTCGCAATTTGTAATGATTTCTTTTGTCATTTGTAACAATAAAAATCATAACATGAAACTTAATTTTAATAAAAACAGAAACTTTTCATTGACATTCATTTTCGGTACCGGGTTTTTGTTTCTCGAATTCTCTTCTCTTTACATTTCCAAAATTCTCAGCTCAATTTCACATTTTGAAAAGTAGAATTTGGTAAAGCGATGGTGGTTGGATGATGGTGGTTGGTTTGTATGTTACAAGTTTGACTTTTACGCAATCCTGCAATGTCCAAATTGCAGACACTCCCTTCCATTGGACAAAAATAAATTTAACCTGGGCTCGAATATTTGAGTTCGCGCACATCTGTAAGGGATGATAAATTTTCATATATAAATTTTGTTATGTAGTACAGAGTTTGAGCACCCTGTATTTCGTATTAATTCCCTGGATCGTGCTCATACGTGCATATGTGAATGGATTTGTATGTGCAATGTATATTGTATACGCACTTGCATCCTTCTTAGATAGACTGTTAATGTTTGCAAGTGAATGCGTATTATTAATTGCATTCAAGCTTTCTTTTAGTAGTTAAGTATACCGCTCTCAATTTGTTGCATATTCAAAGCATCAAAGTGACGAATTTGATGGGAAACATTTGTGGTTACAATTGTGATATTTACAATGCTATGTGTCATTTAAAACGTCGCATATTTGTAATTCTGTTTACCATGCCCATAATTACATTGGGGAAGAATATTTTCGATTGGGTAATGTATAAAATGAATTTCAAGGACACATGTTTCATAGTGAGTTTTATATTTATTTTCCTTATGTTTTAGCCCGCAAAATGGAATGATATCGAGTCCAATCCATTTCAAATGACATGGTGTGCAATCGTACCTCTTACATGTATTTCCATGTAAACTAACGAACATTTTAGGAAAATTTAACCGAATTTTGCATTTTACAGTGTTTATTCTGATGTTTGTGGAGGCATACGGAGAAACTATCCGAACTTACAAATACTATCACTTTGCAACTATGGTCATCTATAAATTCATCGGTATTTTGTCCATTTTTACGTATTTTCATTTGATGATGGACATACCGCCCATTGTGAATCGTGCAGATTTGAATTTCGAGTCCAAAAATTATTGCAATCGAACGGAGATTACTAACAATACAATGAAAATTCATTCAGATGCCGATATAAATTCTGATGATTATAATCTTTCCGTTCTCGAAGAATTTTCCGAATCTACGATCCTTTTAATGGCTGCATATAATTTTTCTACACATTGGATCAAAAATATACGTGTCCATATCTCGGTTTTACACATCGGTTATCTCGGTTTGTCTATGGAAAATTTACGGGGTAAGTAACTAATTCGAAGGAAAATTCATGCGCAATATTCATTGTGTGTTGTTTGTTTTTCACTTTCTCAGAAAAAAAAAACAGAAAAGAATCAATCCTTCATCCATGTGTGCAAAATCAGTCGAACTGTGGCTTTATCCGATTTTTACACTATCCTGGACATCTATTTATGTTCCACATTTTCGCACAATCTGCATCATCAGCTAGCGCAATTGTATTGCTAACATTGCCGCTATTTCCTGATAACTGGAACATTAAGGCTAAATCACCTTATCACTATGCCGAGCTTTTCCTACTGGTTTTCTACACTAGCTGCTTATTTGGTTTGTTATTTAGACTTGAAAAAAAAAAATGTAACAAATGTATAAAATTCTATTTAACTTTTCATTACAGCATCCAAATGCACCATTGGCAGTCCTTTTTCCATAAGAAAAATACTCTGTGGCGCGGTGCCGATTTTGTGTGGATATATTTGTGTCACGCTAGTCAAATTGATCTGTTTTGAAAAAGATATTGAGTTCAATTATGCGGACTCTATCTTGCTTTGAATGTGCTGCTTAACCATAGGTGATGACCATATTCTTCATTCATTCTCATTTGGGATCCACATTCTGGGTGGAGTAAAACTAATGCGTTCAATTTATACGTTACACAGGTCGTCAGTGGTTTTTGGACATGGAAATTAATCCTCAAAAGTATGGGCAATATTTCCGAAAAGAGCGCATCATAGCGGCCATAGAAAAACAACCTGGCGAAATCAAGATGGTGCGAGTAAAAATAACCGTGAACAAAACGAATTAAAATATTTTCCAACACCTACAAGAATGGGTTTAAACATACAAAAATATGTAATTTGGACTTGGCTCTGTGAAAATGCTGATATATCATCATTTCCTGGTGAAACTTTAATGTGACAAAGAGCTACGTACGATGTCCATATATAAGCGCATACATAGCGCTAGATGTACAGCACTGAACACAAACAGTTTGCTGTTAAACGATGCACGATCGGGCTGGCAAAAATACACCGATTTTAACGTATGTTTATTTTATGTGGTAGCAACAACGTCTAGATTGGGGTGGTTTAGTGGCCAGAATTTGGTCACGTGCAGCGTATGAATGAGCCGAGTCTTCCTAAATTCATTTCTATCTCCTTAAAAAAAGGGGAGAATATGACAGGAATAGGAAGACTCAAGACCTGGCTCTCGAGAGGTTATGATTTGGAGGAAATGTTGCGAGATTTTTCTTAAAATGCATCAAACACCAAAGGATGGTAAGATTCTTTAAGCATTTATTGTTGTTGTTATTGAAAGGTTTAACCATATACCATCACATGAACCTTACTCCATGTGTAACTATTTTGACTAAACAGCCAGTTGATTATTTTGGGAAATATTAAAAAAATGATTAAAAGAACCAAGAAAATGTTTACCTGAAATTAGGGTTTACAATCGTTTCGACAAATACCGCAAATGATGATGAAAAAGCCGTATGTAGTGTTCTGTTTGGACAGTTCAAAATAACGCATAGGAAAACGAAGAAAAAAACGTTTATTCGGCGTTTTTTAACGGCTCTGTTTCAATGGGTCTTTTAACCAATGATTTGAGAAAACATGTGTGTGTTTAAATGGTGAGACAAATATAATTTATGACCTATACCATTTCTCTACCAAATTGTGACTGCATCAGAAACTAATACTGAAATAAATTGGTGTATGCATTGAAAACTGCCGTTGATTTTTTTTTTTTGCTATTGATACAAATGGATTATTTCAATTCTCCCAGCTATTGAGTGTTGAAAGGAAATTCCTTAAAATTATTTACTGGATAGAGATAAATACAATCAGATTTAAATCTGAAAATAATTATTTTGCCATTCAGTAATGGTAATTCACCATTGGTAAAGTCACGTTCCGAATAAACAAGTCAATAAAATTGAAGCGATTTTTGTGCGTGAGTCGAAGTGAGAACGATACTACAAAGGAGCATTAATACCAGAAGTCTCGCATTTTGTATAATTTTCTTTTCACTTTTAACAACAAAATTCGTAAAAAAAATGAAAAGAATTCAAAAAACCCAATGATATCAATCAAAATAAAACATTGAATTGCACGGTGCCGGTTTTTCCATTCAAATTCACTTCCAAAGTTAAAATTAAACGGTTTTTGTCAACAATTTTCCATATAAAAAAAAACCAAAGTCAACGGTGTTCCATATTAAAACAGACCAAACGGTGTAAAAAGACATGCGACTCCCTTTCCATCGTTACAAAAAAGTTCGCTCGTAACATTCTAAAAAAACACATCGGTCTCAAAAAGATCTGGAGCATATTGCTATATATAACGCTGTAAAAACTTTCAGGTTATTGTACATTCAAATGTCAAACCTCAGACCTGTCAAACGACGAACGACGACAACTACGACGACGCACACACTGTCAAAGCGCGAGCATTCAGCAATGCTCAGTTATATCTAATCGGTGACATACATTGGATGCGACGTGTGTTTGCGTACGATTACCAAGATAAGGTGTTGTTTTGCGGCATATTTATTCGTTACAACTACGTTGCCGAGAGAAAAGAGAGAGAAAAAACACAGTAAAAAAAAGTATTCATCGCATTGCTCGGCTATTATATATTATTCCGTCCATTCAGCTTTCGATATTGTGCTCCGCTGCTGAGTGAATTAAATGGAATAGATAGCATTAAATCACAAACAGTTAAGGTAAAGCACTTGAACATATATATCGACAACAATCGAAAGTCTGTCGGTTTTCTACTCTGTTACATTTTATTTTACTTCTTCTTCTTCTTCTTAATTTATTTTATCGGCTGCGTAAAAGTGTCAATTTCGCTAGAGCATTTCACAAACAACCGAAAGAAACAATCAAAAATCGTTCATGTGTCTTTTAAATACTACCTTTTTTTAGGCAATTTTCCAATAGAAAAAAGAAAAACAAAACACAAATCCAAATTCAATGTCGCATCTCGTCGGCTTAGTGTCGAATTCCGTGGCCACAACGTTAACAGCTTGTTTTTTTAAATGTAAGCAAAAACCGAAACCGCACAAAAAAAGAAAGAAAAAAAAACAATTCTATCAAATACACCAGTGAATCCGTGATACAACATGATATCAATGTGTTCTGTTTGTTTTTGTTGTTCCTTTCTTTATTTTGTCAACAATTGATCATTTGATTTTGATTTTGATTTGATAAAGAAATTCTGTGTGTTTTGTCTTCTGTTTTATTGTTGTGTTTGTGTCAATTTGCACATGACTCTTTTGCCAGTTTTTTTTTTTTTGCATTGATTTTGTTCAACTAAACTCATTTGATTGTTCATTATTCGCTTTATTGCATTAAAATTCAGTTCAAGCGTGGCGCACAGTTGGCATTCGAGGGTCACACAGTCTCACACAATTCATCAAAATGACGGATTTTAGCGTCGAAATTCTACCAGCTCTACAAGACAATTACATGTACTTGGTGGGTATATCATATGGAATTTTTTTTGCAATTATTCGATGGATTTATGATTCGAACCATTTTTTCTTTCGGTAACACATTAGATTATCGATAATGAGACACGAGAGGCTGCCATTGTCGATCCAGTCGATCCGGAGCGGGTTTTAACAGCTGTTTCAGACCAAGCAGTTCAATTGAAATCGGTGTTGACCACCCATCATCATTGGTACGTAATTGTTTTATTAGATAAAAGAAGAGGATTTCATCATATTTTTAATCAAAATATCACATTTTCAATCGAAATTTTCACACCGTTCGAAACATTCCGTTGAGTCATTTGGAAATGATAACAATTTTGTCATGATTCTATTTGAACCCTATTTTCTATCTTTATTCCATAGGGATCATGCTGGCGGAAATGAAAAACTGGTCTCAAAGTTCAACAAGTCGTTGAAAGTGTACGGTGGTGACGATCGCATCGGTGCATTGACGGACAAAGTCAAGCAAGATGATGAGATTCGTTTGGGCAATTTAACGATTCGTTGTCTGTTCACACCGTGCCATACAACAGGACACATTTGCTACTACATTGATTCGCCGAATGGTGAACGTGCCGTTTTCACTGGTGACACATTGTTCTCAGGCGGATGCGGTCGTTTCTTCGAAGGTAATGCCGAGCAAATGCATGCGGCGCTCATCGGTAAACTGTCTGCTCTTCCGAATGATACAAACGTTTACTGCGGCCATGAGTACACGCTGCAAAATTTGGCATTCGCAAAACATGTTGAACCTTCGAACCAAGACATTGTCAAGAAAATCGAGTGGGCCAAAAAAATGCGCACTGATAACATACCAACGGTAAATTTTCTACTTGAAATGGATTAAAATTCAATTGAATTAAAAAATTTGATTTTTGGAAGGCCATGGCCAATCTCAAGGTCTTGATGGCTCTAAGTTGATCAAATTTGACTGTCAATTCTAACAATGGTCGAATTGAATCAAATTTAAATCTGTGCACTGATTGATAAATCAGTGGATTTACTTGATGAATTGATCGAATCAACTAATACCGTGGATTAATTAGCGAAAGTGGATCATTGATAGTCTTCCTTTCACCCTTTTTTCCCTTGTTCGCAATTGCAGGTGCCGTCAACTATTGGCGATGAGAAATTGATCAACCCATTTATGCGAGTCAATCAATCAAGTGTACAACAGCATACCGGCAAAACAGACGAAGTCGCAACGATGGCTGCAATTCGAAAGGAAAAGGATAATTTTAAGGCTTAACACAAAACCTCATTAACAAAAACCGCAACGAACAAACATCAATGTTTCTCTGTTATCACATCAATTTCCTTTCAAAAACACACTTTTCCTTTTTTTTTTTTCCAGCGCATGGAAATGAGCAAAAGCACGAAAAAAAAGAGAATAAAATGCACATTATTCCAAAAAGTATTTGATACAATCGTTTTTTTTATATTGATTCTTCTTTCATTTAGCCATTCTCACTTTATTTTTTTATTTTTAAATTTGAAATACGTTTTTAAAATCGTAACTCCGTTTTTCTCTCTCTCTCTCTCTCTCTCTCTTTGCACATGTTCTAATCTAAAAAAAAATTTGTTACTCGAATTATAATATTCTTCCTCAATTGTTTCTTTTTTGTTTTAAAATAAAAATACACGAAAATAAATGCAATTTGGTTGTTTTAATAAAACTTATTACAGAAGAGAACTTGATTCACACCACAAATGATAACGGATAATTGTTTTGTTTCGAGGAATTGTTTGTTTTTATTTCTTTTTTTGTTTTGTTTTGTGTGTCGTTTCATTTGGATGCGGCGAAACTCTTTGGCCAGTCTGTGTGTGTGTGTGTGTGGTGGTTGTGTGCTGTGCTATGAGCAGCTTATGTACTGTAGACATCCTCATTTGCGTATGAGGCATGCGGATAATTGCCATGGGTGAAAATCCGTGAAAAATTGCTGTCTATCCCTGAGCTTGGTATCACTGGTATCATATCCCTGGAAAATACAAGAAAAAACACACAGATTTGAAAAAAAAACGTTTAGAATGCACACATTTTTTTTTTTCATTTGGTAAACACACGCTTCGAAGCATCGATTTTTCAGTGTTTCTCTGTTCATAAGTTAATTTCGGTTTCTATCCTCTTCATTAAGCAAAATGTTTTCTTCTGTTTTTTTTCCCTCTGTGATAATGTCTTCTTCGGTTATTAAATGGGACATAGATTTTATGGGCAATCATTTTTCATAAAAAAAGTCAATTGACAGTAAATTATTGCTTTTTACACACATTTTTTCCAATGAATTTCCGCAGAAGCAATCTGGACATTTCGAAAATGGGAAATATTTTCAACAAGAGAAAAAAAATGCCGCACTTTTAAGTGACCAAAGTGTGTTCTTTTGGGAAAAAAAGTGAAACGAAAAAGAAGAAAACATGTGTCGCATTTTCGGTTTTTGGTCGGTGTAAGAGAACAAATTTTTTATTTGATTGACCCATTAGAGGAAGTGCCATTTTTTTCTGCATGTGGCACACAAATCGCCCGTTTCAAATACACATAAATAACGTTACATTTTAATAGCATTGAATATACTCACAAACGGCTCTGCGGGGTTCGATCCCTTTGTCGTCGATTCTTAAACCAATTTGACACTTGTGTTAACGTTAGCCCAGTCTTTTTCGCCAGCAACTTCTTCTCCTCGGGTGTCGGATACCTAAACACGCAACAGAAAAACACACACAAATCGAAACAAGTGTTAAACGTTTGCTCTTTTTTTTGCTCTCGTATACATTTCAATGGATGCAAACGATTATGGAATTGCAGCCGATTTCAATAGAATTGAATGGTGCAGACTAAATGATTGTTTTCTTTTTTCAATTTTGAATTTAAAAACAAAAGTCAGACACAAACAATCGAAACTATTAAGGTATAAGTTGAAAACATAATATCAATAGGTTATTCAACGCAAATATAACGGCTATGGGTGGCTGTAGTTATTAATAAACACATCAACTCTTATCAAAAAATCAATAAAACGTCAACATTTATTACCGATTCCGTTCGTAGCAATCTTTGAGTGCATTTCGACTTTTTTCCTTAAAACAATAAACCGTCTCTTCACCATCCCAGATCGTCTTCGGCAGCGGATACTTTTTTCGTATGCGATATTTGTCGACAGCTCCTGATTTCAACCAAAACACATATTCGATTAGTTTTTTTTTTCATCTCGTTTGTCGAGCAGCAATTTTTTATTCGATTTGGCCCGAGAAATCTTTCGCTCGTCAAAATATTATTTTCTTTGAATTTTGATTTCAATATCTCTTGATTTCAATTCAAACCGAAAATTCCGTTGAAATTCAATTGAAAAAAGATTTTATCGTTCAAAATGAAAGAGAGCCATTTTTTTTTCTTCAAATGAAGAGGAAGAAAAATAAATAAAACCACAAACCTAATCGACGGTCTCGCACTTTTTCCGCCTCTTTGTAGTGGGCTTTGAACCAAAGCAATTGCAATTCGTTGTGGAATTTTATGGAAAAACAGTGCGACTCAAGTAATTTGTAGAGATCATGATAGAGACCTTGATGATATGCAACTACTGCTCGCGCTCTTTTCACGGAAATGAGGAAAAAGGAAAGAAATTGTCACAATGAATAAATCGATCTTTGCCAACTAAAAACTAAAAATTTTTTTGGAGAAAATAATTAGAGCATGAAATTCAAACCATTTTTTCTGAAAATGAAAAATTTCACGGTTCTCTTATGATTTAAACATTAAATATTGCTATCATTAAGTCATTTCACTCCATTTAAGGACTGAATATGCAGCCTTGAAAAATAACACTTTTTCCGCCGCCATAAAAATGCACCTTAAAATATAAATTCCAATAAAAAAAAAACTCACCTTAAAATACTGTCGTTGGGTCGAACGAGTTCGTTTTTTGGTAGATTGTACAAAAGTTGTGCCAATTTGTCAATATCACCTTTTTGCTGGAGTGCTTCGCACAGACACACTATATGGTCGGGACTGAAATCGAGTGTTTTGCGTCCCATTTCCGAATTGAACATTCCCGATGAGCTCGTTGACTGGCCATTCGGCGATAGGACCAATGAGGGGGACACAGCATACGCTTGTGATTGATTGTCACTCTCTCGATTCGACATCGATTCGATCAATCGACTGTTTTCTATAAAAATCACATTCATTATTCGATTTTAGTTCCGATCAAACATGTTCATAGTGAGAAAAATCCTGGATTTTAAATTCACAAAATTTGGGCATCAATTTATTTCGAACAACAATACAACATTATCATTCATTTCCATTGATCAACTATAGTCGATTAAAAATTTGAAATGATCATCTTCATTTTTAAAACTTTGCTGAATTTTGTATAAAATTCTTCAATTTTTTTTCTCGATATTTCATTACATTTCGAGCCAATCAATTCGATCGCACTTCGAATCATTAATAAAATGTCGAAGGAATGTTGAAAAACATTGTCACATTCAAACGAAACTCGCGCACTTCTATCAATCAAATGCATGAAAAAAAAAAATCCGTCGCACTTACCAAAATCACTTTCTGTTTTGCGAATGAACATTTTGTCGTTGGGAAATGCTTGAAATTGTTTTTCCGGAAAGAAAAGTGTGGTTTTGCACAGCGCTGAATTTTCTGGGGTGATATTATTTCGATAGCCTGCACGAGACAAGAAAAACAAAAGCACATACAACTGATCAGTAAAAGACACTCAAATTTCGGCAGATCATCATATTTCAAAGTGATTGTTTTGAATATTCATATTTCAAACAGATCTTTTTTTTTTATTGTTGGTCAAATTGATCGATCGATAGACAGGAAAAGAAAAAAAAAACCGTCACCAACCTGACGAATTGTCAGCATTTGAATTGTTGTTTGTTATGTGGTTATTGTTATTGTTGTTGTTAACATTTGTATTGTTGGCCAGTGCCAACGGCGAATAGACCATATTTGTTTTGGTGTTGTTCTGTGAGATGATACCGTTTACTTTGAGATTATGTCGCAGAGGATCGGTAGGACTGTTTGAATTTGAGCTCATTGCATGTATCGCCGACATTTTTGCCAATCAAATGTGTGTCTGTTTTCTATTCTCTTATCAAAAAAAAAAAATCACTGGGGTCCTAAGACGGCAATTACACTGAATCACTCGCACATGAGCGGCTCTGCTTGCTCACACTTATTTCACTAAATTTGTACAAAACTATTTCCTAAGAAGATTCAAACTGTGTGTCACTGAATTTTAAATCTGAATCACACTTTCTGCGAACGAAAAAAAAGAAGGTTTTTTCGATTTAAACACTAAATCGAATGTATTGCATTGAAAAAAAAAATTGTTCCATGTGTCGTGGTCGTCGTTGTTGTATGATTTAAAAAAAAATAAAAAAAAGCAACGAACGAAAAACGGCATGTACAGTGTATGAGATCCTAAAGCCTTCTGAGGCAAACACAACCAACCAGTTGATTGTAAAGTCCAGCTGAAATGAGGCGAAAGGAACGTGAAAGCGGAGAGCCAAAAAAAAACACTGCAATTGTTTATTTGAGCAAGAGAATGAGAAGAAGAAAAGCAAGCAACAGCAGCAGCACCAGCAGCAGCAGCGCCAGTCGTAGAAAACACACCACTGTATATCTCAACCCACAATACGAATATGAAACCTCTTATAGGCGATTAAACTGTAGTCGATGAACATGTGTGAAAAACTCACACACAAAATCACAAACAGCACAACCGAAAAAAAAGGGCTCTGCCAATGTGAAATCGGAGATGCGACAGCCGAAATAACACACAAAACAACCAAGGCAACAACACACAGCAAATTCGAATGAATTGTGTGTGCTCATTTCTTTTTTTCCTGTCCCTGTTTTATTGTTCATTGCAGCGATCATTTCGATTGCAAATGGCAAGAGGGGCTGGATTTCCATCAACAACATTCTATTCGACTCGTTCGTTATGTTAGATCACTGAGACACACGCATACCATCCTCTCTCGCATTGCGAAGCGATAGCACAAACAGGGCATTGGTTTTTCCTGCGCAAAATCAATGCTATGGCTCCGCCTATTTCAATGTTGTTGTTATCGTTGTTGTTGCACTTTTTGTTTTTGGTTTCAATTGTTGTCTCTCGACAATGTGCTTGAGAATTGTGATTGCAACGAGGAATAAGGATTTCTTGCCAATTTCGACAGCGCAGAGCAACTCCTTTTTGCTATTCCAATTCCTCAGTGTGAAACATTACTGGAATGTACTTGTGTCTTCGGTATGCAAGTCCGCTTTATCGACAATGTCGATGCGAAATTGGATAAGTTTCTATTAGCAACTGGATCTCCAAAAATTGATTTCAACCACCTATGAAATGTGCCGAGGGAGACAAATGGAGATCGAGCGGCAGAGGGACAGAGCGGTATAGAGGCAGAGCGGCGGCAATGGAGACAGAGGGACAGAGCAGCAATGTGGAGATAGAGCGGTATCAAGGGAGTGATAGCGATATAACAAAATTGGCACAATCACATGGTAACAGCCACTCCCAACCAATCACACTCCCCTGGATCTTTTGCCATCAACGCGAGTGAGAGACACAGACATGGCTCATTTTCAATTTTAAATGGTCTATATCATTTGACACTTGCTCTCGCAATTTATAGTTGCTTCTTTTTCCAATGAAAATTACGCTAACAATAAATATTTTTATTCCACGCGAATTGAATTAATTGAGCATTATGTTTTGTGTTGAGCAAAAAAATGTTTCTCTATGAAATTGACACGAAAACAATGGCAAACAGAGTGAGATGTTGAATTCGATCTAAGGCGTCAATCTGGCGTATAAATAGAATATGCAAAGGAACGAAAAAATAAAATCTGCTGACATGTCTGCACATGGCTTCTGCTCTTTTTTTTTTAAACTAGAGCACAGTTTCTAATTGCGAGTGGCATCGACGCAATGTAAAATAGTTCATAAGAAATTCATCACATTCCTTGGAATCGCCAACATTTATGTCACTTCGCACTTAGAACCGCTTCACCATTGTGTTTTTTTTCGTGTGTGTGTGTGTGTGTGTGTGTGTGTGTGTGTGTGTGTGTGTGTG